GAGGTCAAGGCCCAAACAAGGGGCTGGCTGCACAGAGGCCTGGCAGGGAGGTGGAGCCAGGTGGATGCCAGCAGGCAGGCCCTGAGCGGGCAGGCGGTCCTGGCGAAGATCAGGACAGGGGCAGTGAAGCACTGCTGCCTTCCCAGAGTAGCCTGCGTTTCTGAGCTTCAGTGCTCCAGCCCCTAAAAGGTTCCCAATAGTGTCAGGGCCCAGGTCTGTGACAAAGTGCTCTTCAACACATACCCCTGGAGACCATGTTTGGGGTCTGGGCAAAGAACTGACCGCTAGGAACTGGGCCCAAGGAGGGTGACTCAGTCTTCTAGTTTTTAGACAGGTTAAAAAACCTAATACACTTGGGAATACATGCCAGCTCTTATCAACTCATTAGCTTTTTGAAAATAAGCCTGAGAGGGTCTATGAAGACCCAAAACAATCTCGATAATTAGTTAAAAGGCTTCCACACCTGAATGGCCTGAATTCTTGTTTTACAGTAAGACACAGCTCTCCTTACCATGAAAGAGGGAGCAAAGAGTCAGCAGGGTCCCCTGTTTCAACCAGCAAGCAAGACCTGGATGAAAATCTGTGCTAACTCATCTTCATGGAAGCAGACTTGTTACATTTCAATCCCTACTCAATTAATTCACAGACTTGAGGCTTTCTGGTTAATTCTGATATTACCTTTAAAACAATTTCCAGTTTAAAACATTAAACGAAATCTTTATTGGAATGCATTAGAAGGATAGTCAACTAAGTATCTTGGTATTTACTGACAGCATAGAATAAAATTAACCAATTATTTAATTCTGGTAACAACACCTTTAATTGTAATCTATGAGTATTCTGGTTTTCGCTTAAAGTGGTTAAACCAATATTTTAAACACAGAACACGAAAATTTTGCACATCACTTTCAAGAGTTTCTGCTTCTGTTTGAGGGAGATACAGGACCTGTTCTGAAAAACTCAGCAAGGGCCTACAATACAAAGTTTAAAAACCTGGTACTGATAAACACTACATCACACACTCCATATATAAAATTATGAACATGTAACTAGTGAGGTACAAATCCACCCCCAAAAAAAACTTACCAATGAAGGAAAATCATAATCAATTCCTTTCTTAGCTAATCTCTTCCTGAGCAATTTTTCTTTCTTTTTAAATCGCTCCTCCATCTGTAGCTTCTGAAGAAGCGTCCGGTTCTGATTGTACCGCTTCACTGCTGGATATGACGGCTTTTTAAATGGCATGTGCCACTCTCTAAAAAGTTCCTCGTGTACTTTTTCAGGTGGTATGAAATGACCTATGTCAAAAAGAAGGCCTTCAGCCAAGTGGAGGGAGGGATTTCATGCTGACTTCAGGATTTCCCAGTGTCCTTCTCCATGTCTCACTCAGGATGACGTGTCCCCATGTACACGGAACAGCCCAGGAGAATAAAGCAGGTACCCTAAGGAAAGGCACAGTCACCAGCTGTTGATCAGACAGCTACTGTGCAGCAAGAACTGTTCCGGGGCAGAGGACACACCACAGAACGAGATGCAGGACGTAAGGGGTGGGCTCCTGAAGCTAAGGATCCCTCTGCGGGTCATGTGGCCTGCTGGAGCCCATCTCCCCTGGGCCCCACTCCAGGACGAGGGCAGCTCACTGCCTGTCTACAGGTCCCTGTGAGGGCCCTTTTCAGGCTATGGAAGCACAATGGAATAAAGAAGGCAAGCCAAAACCCCCAGAGGCAACCCGCTGTGACGGACGAGGAGCCGTGGACAAAGGCTGTGGTGTCCCGATCCCAGTGGGAATGGGAATATTTCTGTCTTGTGTCACCAAGCAGGGTGGCTAACGCACCCTTCACTGACTTCTGTCTCACTTCACACCTGCAGGTATTTTCCTAGGATCACCTCTAAAATAAACTACTTCATTCAGAAAAGATGTGGCCCATCCTACTCTGCCTCATCTTTCAGGAAAAAGCCAGACAACACAGCACTGGTCCTCCATGTGTGGGTGGTGCTGACATCCTCTGGGTCCCCTCTTAGCCATTTCCTCCTGCAAGAGCCATGCCTGTCATGTGCAAATGGTCCCATGACATAAAAGAGGCTACTGAGATTCTCTCTCACGGCAACAGAACCAGTTTAGAGATGCTACCCGAGGAGCCTGGACAGCTGTTTGAGCAGGCACATGAGCCTTGGGCACCTGCGGTGGGTGTCCAGTGCTCATATGGGTTCAACAGGAGACTTACACTTTAAGAGTCTTTCACCAAAAAGGTAGTTGTTCATTGTTTCACCAACAATCTTGGCAACATCTTCAGATTCAAACTCCACGAAGCCATAGCCTTTGCTATTTCCAGTCTGCAATGGAAAATCCACAATGAAAAGTAGGACAACTGAATTCTCACATTTCATTAAAATTCTAAAATGCCATCAATTTAACAGACATTAACTGCATGTAACACTAAGGCAATTTTAATTCCAACTTCAACTCACAATATGGGGCCTGTTATAGGAAAGGGCCCAAACCTGCCACCGATTTTAAGGTATTCCTGGGTTTTTTGATTACGTGACAAGTACATCACTATAACTGGATAACTCAATAGCAGTGCCTATCACATAAAGGAAATTCTGGAAGCCCCACGATCCTTTATTCACGATCGATTTCATTGGCAGTCACTTCATGTCTTAGTAACACCCAGGATAGTACAATGCTTCACAGAGAATGCAGGTAATACAATTCCCATTCTATATGTTAAGAAATAAATAAAAACACCTAACTCCTCAGTGTCTCCAAGCTACTCAGTAAAATACTGTGGCCATTTTCATGTTTCCTAGGGACTGATCACCTTTATAGTTGGGGCAAAGGAGCAGTGCCAGCGCCCCTGCAATGCACATCCTGGGTTCCGGACTCTTGGCCCTGTCTCAGTGACAGAGCATGGGTCTGAGAGTCTCAATGCCGGGTGCTGGGTCCTAGCTCTGACACTTACTTGGGAAGGTAGTATTAAGCCTCAGTTTTTATTCTATAAAACAGGGATTTTACAGAATCCCTATAGGGATGCTAAGAAGATAAGAAATAATCAAAAGTGCTCCACACAATGCCTGTCAAGGACTCAATTATGTTACTGCAGGATAGCAGAATATGCTATCCCCAAGTATGCTAGTTGGTCATTATTTTGAGCCAAAGACAACTGAGAAGCAGATAAAGGAAAAGCTCACTGCCCTTCTGTATTTGTCTAAAAGCAAGACATACCAAAGGTGCCTTCCCTCCTGTCTACAGGGAAGACATAAATTAAAATAATCTACATAACAAAGCCCACTAATTAGACTTTATTACTAATTTCCCATTTATTTGCCTTCCCACAATTTGCAGCCTGAGAAACTCAAAGTCCTCTTCCTTTGTCTTGTCACTTTTCTGAAAAGGTATTGTCCCTTTACTAAGATGCTAAGAAGGCCCTAGTTCTCCCCGAGTGACTCATCTCTGAGTGCTCCCACGGGGAGCACACTTATGTTTGATTTAGTCTTGTTAATCTGTATCTGTCAGTCCACTTTAAAGTCCCAGCCACAGAACCTAAGAGAGTAACAGAATTCTTTCCTTACACACAGTTACAATTATTAGTAACAATAACTAGAAATATTTCATAATCTTGCATTAAACATATTTTTGGATTTGGATCAGAACTGGTGATGTGATTCTGGAAATAAGAAACCACTTAAAAGGTTCACGGCTTAACCAGGAGTCTCATTTTCTAGCACCAGCTTGCTATTGCCTAGTAACCTGGACATGCCCGCAGGTCAGATCTCGCTTTAGTTAACTACAACAGGAGAACTCCGATAAAAAGTAAATGCTTAAAAACCCTTAGCCATTCAGATTCTTTCAAAGAGGACAGAAAGATGAAGTGGAAGAGATGCTATGAAATCCAACTTAACATGTAACTGACATAAACCTATTTAAAAGTGATGTGAAAATAAAATGTCACGTGTCCAAAACAAACAAAGACCAAACACCTTTACCTAGTAATCCCAGACTGTTGTAAATACCAAGCAAATAGTCAAAATTGGAGTGAGTGGGGAAGGTGGTAGCTTTATTGTGCAACAATGCTGGACACGGTAATATTAGTGCACCCCCTTAAGGAGCAGGCTTACTCTAAGACAACCAGCCCGAACTCGTCATAACAGCCAATGTCAAGAACAGCAGCAAAAGGGGAACTGTCCGATCTGCTGAAAAGTTCCAACCGAGCACAGTGCATGGACTTTGACTGAATCCCATGACGACTAGGGAAAAAACAGCTCAAGACGCTTCTGGGACTGAGGACACGTGAGGGTGCAGAGAATGTTATAGATGCTGCATTGTGTGTATGCAGGAGGGTCTTATTCTTAGATTTATGATGAAGTATTCAGCATTAAAGTATTATGACTGCTACTTTCTCCAAAAGGTTCAGCAAAGAAAAAAGTTGTTCATATTTTTACAAATACATACAAAGATGAAGCTAGTGTGTCAGGATGTCACTAATGGATAGTTAATGGGTGAATTCAAGTGAGGGGTAGAGAATTTCACTACACTATTTTTTCAACCAGTCTGTAGACTTGAACAAACCACAAAGGTGGGGGGAACAATGGCTACATTGCAATGTAGGAAGAAATGTACAAATTAACAATGCACAAAAGGCAGAAAAAATTTTTTCAAAAAAGACAGGGCATTCAAGATGGTGGTGTGAGAGGTGAGATAGAGAATGCCCCCCAAAACCACATATAGTGTGAAAATAAAGTTAATACAACTAGCCCTAAAACAGCAACAGGAAAGAAGGCTGCACCAGACTGCATACAGACCTCACAGAGAAGAACTCATAAAACAGGGTAACATATGAAAGCCTTGATCTCATGGGACCCAAGCCTTTCCCCCACCTAAGCTCACGAGCAGGAGGAAGATAAACAGAGGACGGAAGGAATGGAAGGCTAAGACTGTTGAACACCCAGCCCTGGAGGTCCGCTTTGGAGCACACACCTACACTGTGCGGTGCTCTGGAGGTTGGTGGGGATGAGGAGCTGGGACAGGTGGAGTGCTTGAGAGACTGAGATTCCGGCCATTTGTGGAGGAGGGGATCCACACCTGGCTGCTCTGGGACAAGGGAAAGGCAGGCGGTCTGAAAGGCTTCCTAGCAGCGAGACGGCTGCTGAAGGAGCGGGGGTTGCATGGAGCCTGCTGCATTGGGGAGGGGACAGCTGGACAAGGTTGTCTGGGCGTGCTCTGCCCAGCAGACTGGGAACTTTGAGGACCTTCAGG